ATTGAGTAAGTAGGCCTTCTCCAAGTAGTAACACCCTAAAAGAAGACTTCCTGGCCCCTTTTCCTTTTTTTTTTTTTCTAATAGATTCAGTTGTGAAGAGACTGTAACCATATATATATATATAGAGAGAGAGGGGGGGGGGRGGGGAGAGAGAGAGTATTTTTAATATTTATTTTTTAGTTTTTCGGAGGACACAACATCTTTGTTTGTATGTGGTGCTGAGGATCGAACCTGGCCGCACGCATGCCAGGCGAGCGCGCTACCGCTTGAGCCACATCCCCAGCCCCCCCTTTTCCTTTTGATATTAGGAATTGAACCCAAGAGCACTTTACCACTGAGTTACATCCCCAGCCCTTTTTTATTTTGAGGAAGGAACTCTCTGAGTTGCCTAGATGATCTTCCTGTCTTGGTATCCTGAATCAGTGGGATTAAAAGCACGCACCACTAAACCTGGCTGTTTTGATTTTTCACTGCAATATCTTCATCGAGTCCTTTCCCCTGTGATCTCTATCAGATTCACTTTCATATCTAATTAGAAATAACCATTGACAGAAAACAGCCTTCTCCATGCTTACTGATGATGCTTGGCTAACATTCTTCCCTAACTTTCATTCAGCAGAAAAGACCAAGAAACTTGTTGCCTTTTTTCAATTTCTTTTTGCCTCTGCTGTTGTGATCCTAATTTTATAAGGGCTTCAAAATGTTTTACACTTCAGAAACTGGTTGTTCAGTCAAGATTTTTGACATTTGGTTGCTTATGATGTTGGTGGCCTTCTTTTAAAAGGCATCCTGTTATTTTTACAGTTGTGTTCTTTCTCTGGACTCAAGCAGCAGTGAAGAACATGAGTCCCGTAAGTAGAGTCCACTCAAAGCAGTGATATTCATGTTGAAGTGTCTTTGTAGAGATGACTAAAATGTGATTTGATATGTTTGGCATAAGCTGATCCTGGATTTGTCTCCTCTAGGGCTCTCTGGGTTGGAGAAGTTATTTTCCCTCCTCTCAGTAGCAGGGGAAGTTCTCTGAGCTTCTTTTCCAATTTACTTCCTTTACTTTTTTTCTTCTTCTTGGTCTCCTGTATCCTGTCTTTCATAGATATTTTTTTGTAAGTGGTGCTGAGGATTGAATTTGGGGCCTTATGCATGTTAGGCAAGTGTTCTACCCTATGGGGACATGGATTTTACCAGCACTAATTTGTGGACTTGGCATGTTAGGGAGTTAAAGATATGTGAAATCAGATTTTACCATGCTTCAGATGCTTCCTAATACCTTCTCCTTTTCTCTATTTAGTTAAGATCAAAACAAAAGCACAGAAGACCCGGGTCAGGTAAGGAAGAGACTTGTTAAAACTTGATTACTTTTTTTTTTTCTCTCTCAAAGGAAAAATGTCTGATGTTCTGGGGTAAGAAGATTTAAGAGTAAACATCACATTTCCTATGTAAACACAATATGGTGCCTCCACAGGAACATAATGGTTGTTTGACTTCACCACCAGGTTCAAAATTCCTCCTCCCATCTTCTCCCACTGTGCCCATGATCTATTTGGTCAGTTTATTTTTCCAAATGTCTCAGTGAACTGTGATTTAGCTTCCTATCTCAACTAGTCAAAAAAGTAGTCATCTCATCCTGATCTCTTCTCTGATCCAGTGTGCAAGCCATTTCCAAAAGAATCTTGTGAGGCATTGTTTTGATCATATTGTTAGTCAATTTGAAGAGCTCATTGTATAAAAATCAAACTTTAGCTTAGTGTTCAAATCCCTCTGGGATATACTGACCTATCTTTCAGCTTGATCTACTAATGTTCCTGTTGATCAAGCCTCTGTTCTGACCAGAGAGAGATGAAGGAGTGTTGCCCAGGGGCCAAATGATAGGGGATATTGAAAAAGTCCTGCAGTAAATCTTAAATAACCATCATCACCACCAGGATGCAAAATATTTTTATGACTATTATTTGCATCGTAAATGGTCATCATGGCTCCTAAGAAGTATTCTGTGTACAATATTGTATGCAATAAAGATTTTATCTGATGATTTAAAAAACCCTGATTTTTCAAGAGAAAAAAAATAGTTTCTTCCAGCCTCTACCAGGTATATATTGAAAACTATTTAAAGAAAGTCAGTTTTTAGGGGCCTGCCTGGAGTGTCCACAGGTCTTGGTCCAGTCCCAGGTGGCTTCAATATATGGAATATCATAGGAAGAGTGAAACTGGGGAAGAATATGATGAGTTTAGTTTTGGACATGTTGAAATTCAGGGGCCTATATTCAGGATTGATATTAAAAACATTTAAATAACCTAGAGAGCATGGGCAGGGATTAGTAAGGATGGATGCCTGACTGGTCAGAACAGATGCCATCAAACCTATGTATCCTGAATAAATGTCATCCCTACCCACAGGATCTCCAGGTAAGTAGTGAATCAGGGGTAGAATTCAAAAGAGAAGTTAGGCTGGAAATAATAGATTGGGCTGGCATATATTTAATAGGATTTGTAACCCAGTTTTAGTTGCTGATTGGATTGACATGAGATGGTAGATAAACCCTGGGGGTGAGTTGGGGAAAAGAGGTGAATAGTAGTGGTTGGAAAGGATGGGACAGAAACAAAAGGTAACTGCACAGAAAATCAAAGAGAAGGAATTTTTAGGCTGGAGTAATAGTTAATAGGATAGCAAACACCCATCAACTTGGCAGCTTAAAAGTAGTGAACATAGCCAAGCATGGTAGTGCATGCCTATAACCCAGCTACTAGGGAGGCCGAGGCAGGAGGATCACAAGTTCAAGGGCAGATTGAATAACTTAGACCCTGTCTCAAAATAAAATAAAAAGACAAGGGGGTAGCGGGTAGCTCAGTGGTAGAGCACCCCTAAATTCAATCCCTAGCACTGTAAAAACTTTTAGTGAACATAGTGGAATAAGATTAACATTCGTTTCTGTAACAGGTACAGACAAATCCTGTAACATGTATTTTTAAGTTTGTTCTCATCATCAAAGTAAATCATACCTTTCATAAACTACTTGGAAAATATAAGAGGTAGCAAATTTCAGCTTGCTGGAGCCTCTAACCCCAAAATATCAGGGCTAGCCAAGGATCCCAGGGGTTACTTACTATCTTCACCCTGCGTAGCACAGGGGCACTGCCGGGCATAACTACTGTCAGAACAATCTGTCCATAGAAGAGAGAGTGCTGACTTCAGACTTCAGAATGGTGCTAAGGAGAAACCTCCCTGTTCTAAGGCTGCCTCTCTCCATCTCTGGCTCTCTGCTCTTCTCAGAGTGCATCTCAAAGTTGATAGAGAAGAATGACAATTAAATAGACATTTCCCTGATCAGCTTTTCCCCTGTACTAAAACAATTTGGAGGCATACACTTTGACAGAGCCTGGTTCACTCTCAGTATATGCAGATATCTCCTTTTGAAGGGAAAATCAGGATGAATAGAAAGGTTAGTAGTTTCAACTAAGGGGAACAGAGTTGCTGTGGGAAACAGATCAAACATTTACAAGGATCATAGTCATTGTAGAAAAGATAGAAAATGCCATGATGAAAAAGGATGTTGTATTCATATTTTTCTTTTCTCCAACTCCCACCCCTGTCTTGTCACTCAGCTGTGTGGTGATTGAATCAGAGTCTGATGATGACTATGTCAATAAGAAAAAGAAAGCCAAGATACGCAATATAAGCAGTAAAGGCAAGTATACTCCCCGAGAAGTAGCTGAGCTCTGAAGCCTCATTGCATGCAGCAGTTTCAGGATCAAAGTCAGCACGCTTTTTTGGTTTGGAATCAGTAGCAAGTGCTACCATTTCTTTCTGTGTATATACTTGATGTGGATATGATTGTGCTCCCACATGCCCTGCTGCCTTAGACCTTGGGTTTTCCCCTCAGTAGAGTTCTTACCTGCCTAGAACTATACTAAGGAAACAGAGGGGAGAATGTCAAGAGCTGAGCTGAGGCTCCAGTGTTCTAGGGGCCACTCTTCTTTCCCTCCTTCATGTAGGAATGAGGAAGAGTAAGGAGAAAGGAGTAAGAGGCATGGTGCCACCATTTTTCCAACTTGATGGAGACTTGTAGGGATGATGGTTTAAAAATGCCAGCCACCATCTACTATCTTCATAGTTATGTAAAGTGAAGAGTACCAAAAGTTTAGCCAGGACATAATCACAAAATAAAGAGCATGTTTGACCATGATATAATGAATTCCACTATTATGTATGATTATAATGCTCCAGTGAAAAATAAGGGGCAGGGACTGGGGTTGTGGCTCAGAGGCAGAGCACTTGCCTATAGCATGTGTGTGAGGCACTGGGTTTGAGTCTCAGCACCACATATAAGTAAATAAAATAAAGGCCCATTGACAACTAAATAAAAATAATAAACACCACTAATATACTAATTTTTCTTATTTATACCGTGGACCAGTGAAAACACACAACTGCAGACGTATCCAGAAACTATCGAGTAACTACATTATCCTACTTAGAAAATATGGTTTGGAAATTACCACTGAACTTTGATTATTATTTTATCTGTCGCTGCTCTCAGTAAAATTGAAAAAAAAAAAAAAAAAGGACCAGCAGCTCAGGAGGCTGAGGCAGGAGGATTACAAGTTCAAAGCCAGCCTCAGCAACTTAGCGAGGCCCTAAGCAACTTAATGAGGGCCTGTCTCTAAATAGAAAAAAAAGGGCTGGGGATATGGCTTATATGGCTTAGTGGTTAAGTGCCTCTGGGTTCAATCCCTGGCATCAAAAAAAAAAAAAAAAAAAAGGTGTGTGTGGGGGGAACAATCTCAAATAGTTGTTAACTGTGATTCATGGTTCTCAGCTTGTTTAATTTTGTTCTGAATAATCTGCCAATATTTCATGTACAAGGAACAGGTGGAAGGAGTGTATTTATATACTTGTTTCTTGTATTTCAGATGAGATGCTGGAAAAGTTTTCTGTCATTGAGGAGCAGCCCACCACCCAGGAGCCTCCAATAATTATTATTGATGATGATGATGATGATGATAATGATGATGATGATGATGGCGGCAACAATAACAAATTGAAGGGTCCTAAGCTAACTGAAGAAGATTTCTGTGCTCAGGGCCAAATTTCTCTTGATAAAGAAAAGGTAGTTGGGTTTGCTATCTCCCAGTACAACTTGCCTGATAATGTTGTTGAGATGCAGGATTTTGGTAAAAATATTGGCCAATCACCAAATGATCCTGAGGCTAACCTAGAAATTATAGATACAAAGTTGCCAAGTGAAGAACCCATACCTGTGGTGGAACAGCCAAAGAAAAGGAAGGACAAAACCAAAAATATACGTGTAACACCTGGTAAGCCCATCATGTCAAGTGTGTGTGTCCCACAAATGTGCCAAGCCTGCCAAGTGTGTCCACAGCACCTTTACTACTCCATGTGCCTGTGTTGTCAGGCCTGCCTGTCCTGCCTGCCAACCCCAAGCCATTACAACTTCCAAGTGGCAAAGGGAAGCAGTCATCCCAGTGGAAAGGATCTTCCTGGAAATAGAGCAAGAACACCCATATCTGTCTATTCACTTTTTGCCTACTTGGAGTGCTTCTTGCATCTTTTGTCCTGAGGATATCCCAGTATTTCATAGGACCCCGCCTGATTCTCAGTTTCTTTGTGAAGCCATAAACTTAGACTAGCTCCTCCTTCTGGGTCCCCAAAGTTCCAGAGTGTCTCTTCTAACACTGTATTGTAACATGGTCATGAATCTGTCTCCCTAGTAACTTCTTCAAGAGAAGACTCTTCTTACCTCATCTTTTAGTTTTTTTTCAGGATCTAGCCTCATGGTTGGCATGTAAAAGATACCATATTTTAAAATAAATGAAAGAGTAAAACCATTAGTTCCTAATTATTGGCAGTGTGAGTCCTAGGTGAAGTCTGGCTTGCAGATTGGGTGAAGGTACTGCTGAGGATATGAGCCATTCCTTGAGCAAGTGTGTGAGCTATGTTGTACCATTGCTTGGAGTGTGCGAGCCTCAATTGCCCACACACCTTGGCTTCTAATGACACGTATACATACATACCTTTATGATAGTCCTCAGTAAGTATCTATGACAGACTGCTACCCAGCTCACTCTAGTAGTGGCTCTGGGATTGCCATAAAGTCACTCAGATAGCAGTCATATGCAGCCCTCACCCACAATTTTATTGATAGATGTTCTGTGCTTGGCTGTGTAAGTCCCTCTGGGGTTTAACTGTCAGTTGGTTTGTTTCTCTTTTTTTGTTTTTGTAGATGGACACAATACCTTTATTTATTTATTTATTTATTTATTTATTATTGTGGTGCTGAGGATCAAACCCAATGCCTTACACATGCCAGACAAGTGCACTACCACTGAGCCACAACCCTAGCCCCTGTCAGTTTCTTGATGGTATTAATTTCCAGGGTACAAATTGACTGTTATATTATCCTTCCAGCTGTTAGTGGAAGAAAAAAGCGTGGTCCTTCAAAGAAGAAATCCAGTGCAGTAAAAGTTGAAAAATGTGAGACTGGGTATGTACTTCTCACACCTATTTGAACAGGAATTGAGTGCCTATTTATTGCATGTTTAACAGCCCACTGGGCACTGGAGGGGAATTCTTTAAGGGGGTGGAGTCTGGTTGGGAAGGGTGGCAAGGTATCTATCCCTAAATGGGAGAGCACATGCAGAATGAGTAAGCTCCCCTCCTTGCTTACCCTAGCACCTAAGCTACCAAGATCCCTGCAGTTACCTGGGCAGAGTGGAGCCCTTCTTTCCCCACAGCACCTCTGGTATCTGAAATTTCCTTTGTCTTTAAACTCGGGTCAAAGAATATTGTGTAACCAAACAAGACACTACTTTCAGGTTGGATACAGCCCCATGGCTACCAGTTTGTACTAAACCCAAGCCAACATAATAGAGACGGTGACCTATTTGTTCAGTCTATTGGGATTGGAGGGAGGGCAGTTAAGAATGTCTTCTAAGCTTTTCTGTTGCTTTGAGTGAACCCAGTTTTTCTTACTACTGTGTGTATCCATGTGGTATTGTTGCAGTTTGGGGAATGGAACCCAGGTCTCACACATGCTATGCAAGCACTTTACTATTCAGAGTGCCCCCCCCCAGCCCTCTTGTAAAATTTTAAAGTTTAAATGTTAGGATAAAATGGATTGGTTTTAGTTCCCCCGACCTTTTTTTTTTTTTGTGGTGCTGGGGATTGAACCCAGGCCTTGTACATGCGAGGCAAGCACTCTACCAGCTGAGCTATATCTCCAGCTATCCCTTATTTTTATTAAGCTGTTTATAGTTGATCCTGAAAACCACTGATCATTTAGACCAAAAATATTAATAACTTAAATCAAAAAAATAATATATTTTCTCATTTAGATTCTAGCAACTTCTCTCCCTTTCCCCTTAAAAATGTGATATAGTAAGCATAATTTTCTGTTTGTTTTACTTGCATTCAGGAGTAATACATATTCACCTGAAGTATCATATAAGAAAAGGAACGTAATTGAAGGACTTTGTGATTTTTCTTGTGAGCACTTCTTTTTGTATTATTTTTGGTTGGATTTCATTTTCGTTTTTAACAGTGCTATGGATAGAACCCAGGGCCTCAAACAGGCTAAGCAGGTGGGGTGCTCTATCACTGGGCCGTAACCCCAGCTTGTACTTTTTTTTTTTTTTTTTGGTATTGGGTATGGAACCTTGCCGCAGTCTGGCTGGGCACAATTCAGGAGCCACTTGTCAAAAGAAACGAACTTTATTTTTAGAACCACACATGCCAAACAAAACAGCTCCTCAGGAAAAACCTTCAGAGCCCAACTGCCACCACTGGCTTCCCACAAGCCTCTCA